GTGCAAACAGCATTTAGGACACAAAACACACTTAGGCAGAGTCTCGTCAAAACAAAACCCAAAAATGACACTCAGGATACTAAAAACTGTGTTTACAGAATAAATTGCAATGATTGTTCCAGGCCTTACTATGGCGAGACAAAAAGACCGTTGAACATTAGAATCAAAGAACACAGAGAAAACACCAAAAAAGGTTTAGTGGAAAAATCTAAGATCGCTCATCATTGCTGGTCCGAAAATCATCGTATGAATTTTGAAGAGGCAAAAATTGTCCATAAGGAACCTCATTTTTTCAAACGTAAACTCATTGAAGCCTCATACATTAAATTAGCAGACCAACCAATCAGTCAGTCATCGGTTGAAATAAGGCCACTTTGGCTACCCATTTTGAACAAGGAACTAAAGGATAGGGAACTTAATTGTTCAATAAATAGGGAAATAACGAGTTCTCCTCAAAATTCGCACGTTATGTTAACTCGTAGTAAAACTCGTGATATGAATAAACATAATTAACACCCATCTTGCGGCATCGTACATCGCTCCGCCATTTTGTTGGTTTTACTTTTCCAGGGACCGGAAGCCATTTCTGTTGTCTCCGTGTTTCCGATTGGTCAGCCATGTTGGTTCAGTCTCATTGGTGGAGTCATAGCGTACGGTGTTGTTAGTGTTCCATTGTGTGAGTTTTTTGTACGTAAACCTTTTATAGATTATAGTGTTTTGTGATTTGTTATTAATTGCATGTTGTATCATGACTTGACTGCTATACAGTGCATATTTTTTGACTACTACCCTCGGTAGTGTATTCCAACTTAGGTTGGGCGTTTGTGTATTGTTAGTTGTAATGTGTTAGTTAAGTTTTTTCACCTGAAGACGGGATCAGATTCCAGATCCCGAAACGTTGTGTATTGTTTTTTTTTTTTTTTTTTTTTTTTTTTTTTTTTTTTTTTTTTTACATTCGTGATGGAAAATGTCCGCAATAAACCTTTGAACAACATTAACTCACCATCACCAACAATGAACTTCAAACAAAGAAGATGATCTTGTTTGCAACAAGGATGTCCACTCATATTTAACTAGAAATAGAAACAATATACATATAAGTAGCAAAAGATTGAGTAAAACTAATAACTGTTTTCCTGTTTTAATCCCGGGGGGGGGGGGGTTTATACAGTTTTACAATGCTCTCCCGGAAAGTTTTCGATTGGTGCGGAAGTCCAAATTTATCAAGTTTGTGAAAAATTACCTCGAAACGAAACCGTTTTAGCAAATTTCCCTATAAGGAAGTAGCTATTACCATAGGTGGCACGTTAAGATCTAGGCCCGGGACCGATTTACTTTTCATTTTGATGTCCCCATAGAGGCCAAAAACACCATTCGTTCAATTTGTATATATGTATATACAGTGTGTGTGTGTGTGTGTGTGTGTGTGTGTGTGTCCGTGAACAAGATAACTTGAGTTATTTATGTCCGATTTTGATGAAATTTGGGTTGAAGATGTAAGGCAGGATAATCTTGAATGAGTTCGTGAACCAGCATGATCGGACCATGGGAACGTGGTTTAATGGGGTAAAAATTAGGTTTTCTCATATTTGACCCTCTAAAGATAAAATTTTCCAATTTCTTTTTTGACCTTCTTAAAGAGTTCAAAAAACAAATAATTCAGTATATCAAAGTGTTTTTATACAGGCCACGGCCTGGTAGAATTGGCAACGTTGAAGTAGTGTTGTCTAGCGCCAGACGTCTCATAAGCATAACATGGCAGAGGTGACATCAGCCAAGGCCACACAAAAAAAAGTGTTTTTAGTGTGGCCTTGCATCAGCTCATTAATTCACGTATTATTTATTTAAATTTATCAAAAGATTGAAAATAAAACATACAGAGAGGAAAACCAAAATGAAAAAAATATTTTTGTACATTTAAAGCTTTCGTATTCTTCAGGTCTTTCTAGTATTCGTGGGTCTTACCATGAGTACTACGGTAATAGCTAATCCTATATGGGAAATTCGCTAAAATACACAAAAATTAGCTGCCTCCAAACAAAACAGCTGTTACAATACTACTTGCGATTTGGCCACTTCGAAGGCAGCGGACTGGAGTTATCTACAGGCCGCGGCCGGGTAGAATTGGCAACGTCGCAAGTAGGGTTGTTTAGTGATAGACGTGCTAGAAGATAACATGGCAGACATGTGACTTCAACTCATTATTTCGCACTTTATTGATTTTAATTTAAATTTATGATCATAGGCCTAAATTTATTAAAACATTGAAAATAAAAAATACAGAATTGAAGACCGAAACAATATAAATTAAAAATTAAAAATCTGTTGTAACAGCTGTTACAACCCCACTTGCGACGTTGCCACTTCGAAGGCCGCGGCCTGGAGTTAAAGGCAGCCGTGGTTTAGCACGGCCACCTTTAACTACAAGCCATGGCCTGGTAGAATTGGCAACGTCGCAAGTGGTGTTGTTTAGTGATAGACATTCCATAAGATAACATGTCAGACAGGTGACATATCAGCTAATTAATTCACACTTTATTGATTTAAATTGATTTAAATTTATGAACATAAATTTATTAAAATATTGAAAGTCAGCATTTAAAACCGAAACAATATGAATTAAAAATCTATATCTGTACATTTTAAGCGGAGTCAATATTGTCATAGTCCAGTAACCAATCTTTCGTAAATACACAAAGTACCATTAGCTGCTTCCAAACAAAACAGCTGTTACAACACCACTTGCGACGTTGCCACTTCGAAGGCCGCGGCCTGGAGTTAAAAGCGGCCTTGGGTTTAGGCCAGACCTTTAATCCATGCTTGTGTTGTTCGAAGTCTATATATTGTAAAGAAAAAAAAGAAAAGGAAACTCTGACTTAGACTCTCATATATTTAAATGTTATATTTAAATATATTTACTCCTTGCAATGCTCTTTAATGAATTCTTTACAAATGTTGGTTGCCCCTAGGTTGGAAGAACTCTAGAAAATAAAAATATCAGACAGAGCTTTTTGGCAGTGGAAGCTTGATGTTATTGAAAAATATGAGTGGACCCTGCAAAATATAAATATTCCCCAAAGGTCCTTAGGGGGCGCCCCTGGCACTCTTTGTAGTTCTTCCAATAAAGTAATACCTTTAATGAGATCAATTTACCAGTCTTAATTCTACACTGAATTTACTTGCTCACTACTACACTAGTGACTAGTGTTGCACTTAAAAGGTGAATCTTTTGTAGTGGCTTATGATTTACTGAATTACCTTTTGTTTATCAATTAAATACTATTGCATATACTAAAATACCAAGGTTATTGAGAACTAAAAGTGAGTAACAATTTGAATTTATTGCACAGAATTTAATAAATACACTTGTTTCAGTTTACAGTCGTTGTTGTGTTCTTTTAAATAAAAATGACCTTGAGATACACAATCAGTTGGAAATTTATTGAAACTGTTGAATGGATTTATCAAAGGGGAGGTATGGTGCGGTTTCACACCGATCTCGAAAGTATCAATGGAAGAGTGGTATTTAATCTAATAGTTGAGATGACCTGTACCAAGCAAATCCTTTCGTTGGCCAACGATTAAAAACGAAGGTCGTCTCGCAGTCCAACTGATTGAACAATATTGTATTCAATCGTAGTAATGTTTATCAGAATGTTGCGTTATTATTTTATAGCTAATTTGGTACTTTGGTGGTTCATCTATGTTCAAACTGGCACAACCTCCAACAACACTTCCGTATCAATCGAACCAGCTAACTGCTCCCTCCTCTGATAATAATTTATTTCCCCCAAAAGATACTGACTGTGACACTCTTTAAAGGAATTGTACCATTTGCTCAACAATGAAAACTAACAATGACTCTGTGTAAAAATTCCAACACTATAAAAATCTTATTAAATAACTCTGAATTGCCCTATAAAAACATTTTCACCTATTTATTCTTAATACTATAGGATTATTACAATCTAATTAATAAAGCGGATTGCTACAATATGAATGGATATGAAAATCAGTGATTTGAATTCGAACCTGTGAACATGTGCTTATTCTACATGAAATGACAAAACAAGACAGGAAAAATTTACAAAAGTGCGACTCACTGAAATCTTAAATTAACAAATAAATAACACAAATTACTTACAGTTTGGACGTCCACAAATATAACACAAATAAAGGGGAAGGGATTGGGAAATGTAACTAGCCGGTATTCTACAAGACGCGATGAATTGAACTCGTGAAACGAACGTGTAATTTTCAAATGGCGGAACTGCGTTGGTCGGTAACGAACTTTTTCACTTTTTGACAATGACACTGATTCTAATTTCCAATCGCGGGGCAATTATATCCCTTAGGGATATAGGCTGTACGACTTTAAGGAAATTTAAGATTGCCCGACCAAACGCCGCGAGATGAATTTAATTTCCACGAACGAAAAACAATTTTACCGAACTAGTTACGATGAGATTTGGATAGGAACTGGCAACTCGTGGGAGCAAATGACCACCCGGCTAGACTTCTCCCCTCTCCTGCTTTAGTGCGTGGTGCATTCTGGTCTATACTGATCTATTGTTTAAACCAGCTGACTGTTCTTCGCGTTACCCTGTATTGATTTGTTGCCTTTTTACAACAAAATCGGTACAATATGAATTAAAAATCTATATCTGTACATTTTAAGCGGAGTCAATATTGTCATAGTCCAGTAACCAATCTTTCGTAAATACACAAAGTACCATTAGCTGCTTCCAAACAAAACAGCTGTTACAACACCACTTGCGACGTTGCCACTTCGAAGGCCGCGGCCTGGAGTTAAAAGCGGCCTTGGGTTTAGGCCAGACCTTTAATCCATGCTTGTGTTGTTCGAAGTCTATATATGATCAATGATCAATACTATTTAACCATTTAGATTTCACGTAAAGGCTACCCTAGCCTTCTTCTTGCTCTATGGCGTCTTCAACTTCAACTTGAAGTTTCTTCTTTCTGTACAAGAAGGCTGTTCGGGTTCGGCATTCTTGCATTCATCTATGTTAATAGTTTTACGTTTTGTTGTCTGAAGGCGCAGTTTTTATTTGGATTATTCGAGGTAATTATTATTTCAGATTCAGGGATAAAAGATGCATTATAAAATTTTCTCTTTAACAATAAATTGTGAAAACGTTTCATCATAGTCTTTTTTCATGCAACGTGTTGTTAATGTTGAAAGACTCACTGTGTGCTGCAGCGAATTGCTCCGCCATTTATCCCATTGACGCGTTTCAACCTATTACCTAATTTCTTTGATGATATGCCACCAGTTGCTTCTTGGCTTAGCGTTATCAATTTCATCCATACTTTTCGATTTATGAAAAATCAGGAATAAGAAAATTACTGATTCAAGTTATTTCTTTGATAAGTTTTACCCATTTCTCAAACATTCAAAGCGAACGTAGGCCTAGGGTAGGACTTAGTTACGCCTAGCCTAAAAGTTTCACTTCCTTACAATACCTAAATAGACTAATCAAGGAGAACCCAAGACAGGTTATTTCATAGGTAGGATATAGGCTAAGATGATTTTCCAAACATCTATTGTTGAAATAGCCAATAAAAGGTTTGTCTTAAAAACTTCCCAAAGGCCTAATCCTAGCCTAGTGTTTGATTCAATTTGTAATCATCACTCACACTGCTCCACTTGTGGGGTGTCCCTCTCTTTTGTTAGGCTTGGCCTACTAAACTTTACATTTTAGTGTTAGGTAAATGAATTGACAAACTAAGAAGAATCTGTACATTTTCACATGCACTGTATTTTAAGTTATAATTTGAAGGGCAACGTACAGTTTCCTGGGCCAGGCCTACCCTTATAACCGATTAAATCTATTGATTGAAAATATTGATAGTCAATATTTTTATCTTAGTTAACCCTCCGAGTGTCACTCGTCGAAAAATCGACGTGCGACACACTTTGTGTAGTGTCACGCGATGATTTTTCGACGCGCGAACATCGTTTACGGCGAAGGCTCTATGACTGACTGAATCGGATTGAACTGGATCGAGTTAGGTATCGTTCTTCTCGTTATATTCTAAGCTTTCTCCAGAGGTCTGTCTCAGCGCTGTATGTTCTCCGAGCCGATCGTAATTGTAGCAGACAGCTGACGTGCGTATTTGTAAATAGCTAGGTTACCCTCGGACCGATGACTGATGTGTTTTATTACGTTTATCATTGTTTTAGTGTTAAAAATCAAAAGTAGTGATATACGTGGTGCGTTATAAGAAGATTTAAGTGATTTTGAAGGGCTGGTTGATGATCCTGAAGAAGTAGGTAGTGATATTGATGTAAATTATCAGCCAGATTCCTAGCTATGGTTAGGCTATGCATTCTTAGCTAAACGCTATGTACTGAAATCTGTTTTTTGCCCATAACTTATTTATTTGCAAATCTACTTCCTTATATTATTACTTATATATTTGTAATCCTCATAAAATTTAGAACAAAGTGGCTATTTTCAAATATTTATAGGCCTAGGCCTATAATTTATCCAATTTCATTGAGCGCGAACTTATTTTTTTTTGAAAATTTTCCAAAATATTTTTTTTTTTACCTAAAAAAATTTTTTGAAACAAATGTTCCTTATGTTTTATGTATAATATTGAAGCCCATGATTTTCCAAACAAAATGGTATATAGCCTAGAACAGTTGAATTAACATTGTTTTAAGCTTCTCAGATCGGTTTTAATAAAACCTTGCAAATGCGCCAAAAATAGGCGGACATTAAGGCCTAAACTATGGACACTCGGAGGGTGAAACTTAGATAAAAATGAAACTGTTATAAGTTAGCTTAACCTAACCAACCAAACTTGCTGATAACTGACTTAGGCTTAATGAAAAGAAGGTTAAGGGCCTACTACTCATCGAATCAATAGTTTCAAACCCTCCTTAACTAATTAAGTAGGCTCTTATTTGCTATAACTTAGCCTAAGTTTAAGTTAATTAAGTTACCGGTAAGTTAGGATAATTTCCTACCTAAGTTATCTGAAGATTCTAAATTATTGATGTGACTATAAGTTAACTTAACTTAGTCAAGTAATCACTTTTTTGACCTAACTCTAAAGCTGCCACTGACTCGAGTTAGGGCCTACAAGTTATTTCTGACTTAACTGACTGATGGTGGCTGGGTCTGAGTTTGTGTAAATTTGGTTACTCTGCACGAGTTTGTGATTTAACAGAAATTGAATAAGTGCTGCAATTACTGTTATGTCAAATGAATATTAACTTTAAATATGCTATGTAACTTAGGCCCTACTGCCTTTGTTTTTTTTTTTTTTTTTGTACCAAGGGCTAGGCCTTTGAATCGCCAGTTATAACTTAATGCGTAACTTATTTGAAATGGGGCAGATTAAAACCATTAAAAAAGAATTTAAGTACCGGTATCTGCCGCTTCTAGGCAATGAAGTGTGCCCCCCCCCCTCACTTTTCAGCGCACTCCCCGACCTCACTAATATCACCCTAATGGCCAACACATGTCATGTCAGTTGATTTTGTAGAAAAATAATCGGCAATATTGTATGCTGCATCAACAAATTTAAGCTTAATAACTTTTGAAGCCCTTTTAACGGAGGTTTTTTTGCGCCGTTTTTATGCAAAACGTGATTCTGACTGGATACACGGAGTGCGACGTTTTTATACAATCATTAATTATCACGTTTTGCGGCGTGAAACAGCACACAAAATCGTCTGTATACAAGGGCTCTTATAACACTTTTCATTAGGCCTAACACTTTTAGTCAGATCCACTTGAGACACATGCTATTGGCTTTGAAATGGAAACAAATATGTTTACTTATAGAACTGTTTTATTGAAAAAATCGCATGAATCAAAAATAAAAACGTACGTACTTTTGCATTAAAGAATAATATACCATTTTAAATGAGTTAACTTAGTACAGTAAGTATTTTGTTCACACTTTCATTCTTTCACACTTTCATTCTTTCAACCTTTCAGCTAGCACTGTAGTGTCGTATGTAGGGTTGTTGCGATATCAGCAATCTATCGATATTAGATATCGATAACGATTCCAGCCTCTAGTAATATCGATAAAGGACCAAAGAGGGAGTGAAATTTAAAATTAATAATAAAAATCCACAGTGCATTTCAAACCCAGCCTATTTTTTAGGAGTTACAATGAAAACAATAATTACCGTATTTACAACAATTTAAACAAGGCTAGCACTGGTGGACTTTAGTATAGGCTATTATAGCCTACAACAGCTCAATCAAATGCTCTTGAGCTCTGACAACTAACAAGTGACAGCTGACAGCGCAACCTAGTGATGGGGCATTCGAATACAGAATCGAATAGGTACTTATTCGAATACAACCAAGGTGTTCAAAGATTTGAATACTTCTGGTTGTATTCGAATACTGACATTCGGCCGGGTTCAATAATACTTTGAAGCCAAACCAATCTAGTTTGAATAGCCAGAATGAATGAATTCGAAATCGGCCGATGTGTTCCGAGTTCGAATACACTGAATACTAGTGTTATGAATACCTTTGCTTAATTTACTTCACAACAACAACTTATAAGTTTACTTACTTGGAATGGAATCTTCACTGTACCCGACTCAGGAGGGATCAATAATTAATTAATTGTCTCATTAAAATGTTAAATTTGGACACTACCAGCATTTATTAGTTATTATATAAAATAATTCAATGAAGTAATGAATCGCACTGTTTTAAAATTGAAATTCACTTCTCACTAAATCTATAATGAATACTTTTGTCTAGTTTTTTAACAATATTAAATGACTCATTACCTACAGTAATTTAATGAGAATGAACAATAATTTATTTAATTTGGGTTTTAGTTTGTTTTAAAATATAACCTACCTATTTATGTTAGAGGAGAATTGAACCACATTTATTTTCATTTAAATGTATTTATACATGAATGGCAATACTTGATTTACAAAACTAGACTTGGGAAAATTGAAATTGCCATATTGTTACACCATATTGCTATAAAAGTATTCGAATAGCCTACAAGTATTCAAATAATTCTAAGTATTCAAATTCTCAAAAGTTTTTGATTATCCCATCAGTAGCGCAACCAACACTCCAGCAATAAAAATCAGTTGCTACTAACTTAGTTCCTTCTACCACAAAAAATATAACCAGCTATTCCCATATTAGTGTGGATTTTATCTTGTACATAACCTCGATAAGAAGGTATGCACGGCCACCTTTAACTACAGGCCGCGGCCTGGTAGAATTGGCTACGTCGCGTAAGTGGTGTTGTTTAGTGACAGACGTCCCATAAGATAACATGACAAACAGGTGACATCAGCTCATTAATTCACACTCTATTGATTTAAATTTAAATTTATGAACATAAATTTATTAAAATATTGAAAATAAAACATACAGAATGGAAAACCGAAACAATATGAATTAAAAATCTAGATCTGTACATTTTAAGCGGAGTTAATATTGTCATAGTCCAGTAACCAATCTTTCACAAATACACAAATACCATTAGCTGCTTCCAAACAAAACAGCTGTTACAGCACCACTGGTGACGTTGCCACTTCAAAGGCTGCGGCCTGGAGTAAAAGGCGGCCGTGAGGTATGTCGATATCACTAAAACTTTATCTAAACTTATAAAATTCAATATCGAGAACCGATATCGACAAAATTCTTCCGATATCACGATATTATCAAAACCCCAATATCGATACAATATGGGAAATATCAAAACGAAAATATCGATATGCATTGATATCGATAATATTGCAATATCCCTAGGCATATGAAGTGTAGCCTAAACAGTGTTTCTTCGTTCACCACTACCCACTACGCTCCCGCGTGTCTGCCAGACCAATTAATAGCGTGGCACAGAAAACTCAGCACAGCCGTGCAATACACTATTGACTTTTTTAATGCGTTCTGAAATAATTTTATACTTAATTAAAATATTTCAAATGGCTGTTTGCCGTTCCCAGTATTATTTGCTATATAGCCTAAATGTTTATTTTTTGTCTATTTTATGTCCCTGGCGTTGGCATATCTACTGAAACAGTTATTTGTTGATAACCCTGTTTTTGTCTAAATACGTTCCAAAACAAACGCCTATGGACCCCTACTCATTGATACAGACACCACTGACTGTTAATTAATTGTGGAGAAAACTTTAAGGAATTGGCTGTATTAGACCAGGTCTGTTTGGCCTATCACCCATGGATTAGAGTAAAGGTTTAACTTATAAACTTTTAATTATTAGATACCATATAGTGGATATTCTGACAAGAAGGAGCACTTGGCCTACATGTAAAGATTTGTTGCAGCAATTAACAATAGGCCTATAGTCTTGCTTGTTTGCTGCAAAGAGAATTTTATTTGGATAAAGTGCTATAAAATAAATAAATAAACATTATCTTTAAATTCTTTATATTAAGCTATAAAATTACTTAAATGCTCAAGGAATAGGCCTAGTCCCTAGGTAGCATACTTTTATAGATAATTATTTAGCCTAGCGGTCTTTTTTTACCACAGTGTGTTTTTGCTTGTACAATTTAATGATAGAACTTGAAAAATACTAAATGATTATTAACTTATCTTGTTTTTTTTAGACCATGGAGGGAGAGATTGAAGAAACTGAGGAAAATGGGGTGAAACCCCCAATCACTGCACAGTTAAAAACTTATACGAGGCAAAACAACAAATCAAGTGAGTAATATGTTGGTTAACTTACTGCGTGATAAATCAAAGTAGTCAAATCTAAGAATCTTATTTGCACTTAGGTCTAAGTTGAGAAAAAAACAACATAATTATGTTAAGCTCAGTAAGCTTCAAGATTAGTTGACGATTAAATTATGACGTACTTACTATTTTGTTAGGTCTATCTCATACCAATCTATATTAATAAATTTGATCATACGTAGACAGAACACATGATTTAACACCTATAAACTAGAACTATTTTATACAAAAATGTTAATTTTCGTACAGTTACCTAACAATGTACATGTTCTCCACTTATTTGAGAAAGCAAAGTGGCCAATTCGCTCATCAGTGAGACAATGTTAACATTGTCTCACTCTAATTACTTTGTCTCACTCCAGATTTGCAACGTGAAGGCACGTTTCTTTACCAATTTATTTGTTTTATGGTAACTGGTTGCACAAATAACTATTTTCTTTAAAAAGTGGACTCTAAAGATTGACAATAAAAGTTAATCAGGAAGGAAAAATACAGCACTGACAGGATAGGACGTAGTCATTATGATAGGTGGCCACGTTTGACAAACGTGAGATAATACACTGTTAGAAATCACTTAACAGTCGATTTTCAAAAACCGGCCAATATGAGTAACAGAGAAAAAAATATGTGTTTATAATTTTAAGCAAATATTATGGTAGGTAATAATATATTAATAACCTTACACAGCAGAGCTAAATGTACTTTTAAGTTACTTTGAGCGTACTTTTAAGTTACTTTGAGCCTAGATAATCAATCACCAAGTAGGCTACTTTGATCATTCTTTAGTTAAGTAGGCTATTTTTTTTACTACTGGAGTAGGCCCTACGCTATTTCTATATTTAATGATGATTTTGTGCACCACTTTTCAGAACGTGAAGCAGCTCAAGGAGACCCTCCTTTGCATTTTCTAGTGCCACCTTTTTTTCACTACATCTTTTTCCCCTGGGCACATTCTGCTACTTTCAAAGAAAGTGGTCAACTGTCTTCTGTGGCATGAGATGACACTTTTTTCTGTCTGGCTATTGGATTCAACTATAAACTGTAGGTCCCTTAGTTGCCATTAGCTGTATGGGCTATTAATTAACAGCTGTGTCTAAGGAATGTCGGCCTTAGTCACTAACAAGACTACAAGATCGCGCCACTCACCCTACACTCATCTCCATTCATACTTTAAATACCTACTTTGTATGGTCACCATTTAATAAGAAAGTATTATAGATTCGGCTAATAGTTTATTAATTTAGTAGGCCTTTGCTGCTAAGTGATTGAAATATTTTTGCAATCAATATTTCTTTATTACTTATTGCCCAGGACCTTCGATACTTGCTGGTACATTTTTAGGATACATGATCCAGCTACCTCTTTATTTTGTTTGCTTAGCTTTTTTGCAGTACAAAACCTAGAAAGAGTTGTTTTCAAACATTAGGAGTTACTTTATTCCTAACTATTTGTTAAGCAGAAAGGAAGGATACACAACTAACTCACCTGAATAGAGTCCCTGGAGGTTAATAGAACACAATAGTTTAACTGATATTTCACCCCTTTCATGGGCTTCTTCAGAGAAATAATGGCAGTTACAGTTCTAGCACTGTTTTAATTGTATCTCAGGCTTGTCAACACATCACTTGTAACTCTATATACACACACACACACACACACACACACACACACACACATATATATATATATTTTTACACCATTGCTTTTACTGTACTACTGTTGTTAGTTGTATGGGTGAGGAATATTTTGGAAGGAATTTGGGTTCATCTCATGTTTAAGTTTGCTTAGGAGATGGGAACTATGAATAGAATACCTCCATAGCTGCATTGGTTTTTTGGAAGGGATTTTAAAGATGTTGTAATATAGCTACTGTCAAATTGGAGGTTGTGGGTTAGGGCATTTTGTGCCATGGGGTTTTCTTTGTTGGTTTTAACGTCATGACGGTGTCTATTCATTCTTTTTCGTAATGTTTCTGTTGTTTGGCCAATGTATTGATTGATTGGACAGGTCATTGGGTGCATTCCAATCATCTTAAGTGCATGTTTTCTGAGTTGCAGGAAAGGTGTCCTTTGAGTTTCTACTGTCTATTGTTAAAAGAACTGGATAACGTTTCTGCTGGTTTGTGAATGCATCTTTCCTCATTACAATTGTAAGAGCCGGGGCTAGGTTTTTCTGATGGTTATATTGAAGTGTCTAGTAGTTTAGGATGAACAAGCAAGTTTTTTTTTAGATTTAGAGGTTGTCTGTATAATAGGGATGGAGTTTTTTGGAGAAGATTCTTGGATAGCGCAGGTTTCCAGTGCACCGATAATTCATAGAATGCTCGACCTAGCAACAGCCAGTAAAGATCTCAGGCGCTACTCAAGGCAACACTAAATATATTTATTTACTATTGGCCGTAAGTCTCCTCAGACATGACGACATCATAGGCCACGGAAATAAAATTATGTAATAACTTTTTTAGTTACATTTTAGTTTTCCAAGAAAAGATTAAAACAAGCAGCTGATCGCATACGGCAAAAATTACGTCGTTGCTGTCGCCTACGATGACGTCATGCCTAGGGAGCTTTGCGACCTGTTGATTTAGTGTTGCCATGCGCTACCGTAGTTCTTAGAATTGATTGATTATCTGTGTATTCGTGCATTACGGATCGACGGCTCGGCCTAGCAACAGCCAGTACAGTACTAAAATACAGTAGAGAAGTCTACTACTTGACCTAACAACAGCCAGTGGAGACTTCCACTACTCGACCACACTTGTTAAACATCACGCCTCCCAGTAGTTGTCTCGATATTTATAGTTTATAGTTAGGCTTTATTTATAGTTATTATTTTTTTATGAATGGCTCGGTTAACCCGGAGGCTTGGTTAACCGAGACTCGGATAACCGGGAGTTTACTGTATTTTGATGCCGTTAGGCCATGGTATAAAGGGAGGTTAAATCTATCATTGCAAAGAGTGTACCATCTACAAACAAACTACCCACAACTCATGTCTACGCACAGGCCCCTGCCTATGTAGACCTTTTCCATATAATTTGATAAGGTTTTTTTTTTCTTGTGCCATTTAGTAGGTACTTTTGTAAGTTACTTTTAAGTGTAAGGATTGTATAATTTGTTATGTAAACTGCCACGAATTGTATTTTTCAGTTGGGAAATAAAAAATATTATTTCATTATTTCATCTGGTAGAGGTTGGGGTGTAGCCTACTGTTGAGTTTGTTGAGGAAGTAATTAGAATTTTGTATGTATGAGCCTAGGTTTTGGACCGGTGGTTGTAAAAAAGAATCAACGTAAGAGAATATATCCTCTCTGTTTGGGAGCCGCAGCCTCCCCAGCGTAAACTATGGGTCTACCAGAGGGGGTTCGTGCCTTTGTGGATTTTAGGTAGGATTTATATTTTGGGTGTGATAGGTTCTGTTGGAATTTAAAAAAAAACTTGCAGTTTAATTGAAGTGCAGATTTGAAATATATCAGTTAAATTGTGTTATTTTTTGTGTTCTATTAACTTCCTGGGACCATTTATTCAGGTAAGTTAGTTGTGTATCCTTTCTATCTCCTTAAAAAATTGTAAAGCCAAGCTGCTTTTTCCTTCAAAAACTTTAACTAATAATTCTTCAACAAGTTTTTTCGGGCAGGGAGATCCTTTAGATTTTGATTTCTTCCTCTCTCTCTTTTGAGTCTCTACCTGTATTTTTCCAAACACAGTGGTTTTATCTTCTCTTCTTGCTTTTTATAGCCATTGTCTCCGCAGTTGTTTTCTTTTTTTCGAGCTTCGTTCGGTTCTGTTCTATCCAGTACTTCTTCATTTTACAGTGTTCCCTTTCCGTCGTATCCGCAACTGTTTTAAATTTTCCTTCCTGTTTCATTCTCTCTCTGTGTTCTCTGTCATATTTCCTTTTCTCCTCCTACTTCACTTCGCTTAATTTTGCTCCCTTTCTTCTAAGGCAAGTTGTTTGCTTGTAGGGCTACAAGAAACCAACAGCCGTAGAATCTGTCGTAAATCACATTTTGAATAGTTTTGAGAGTAAGCGTTCAAGCCTTTTAGATTTAAGTAAAGCCTTCGACACTGTATCACATGTTATTCTATGTAAGAAGTTAGACTTTTATGGGGTTGGAAATATGGAGTTGAAACTTATTGAAAGTTACCTTAGTAATAGAAAACAATTTGTTAGTTTAGATAATAGGGTTTCAAACTTTGCAAATATACATGCCGGAGTGCCACAAGGATCCGTACTTGGACCTTTTTTGTTTTTAGTTTTTGTGAATGACTTAAGCTGTAATGTCTCTGCCTTGTCAATACTGTACGCTGATGATACAACCCTTGTTCATTCTGACCTTAATCTGGAAAATGTTATGACAAAACAGAATAGAGCTCTGGCACAAGCCCAAGAGTGGTTCTCAGCAAATAACCTAGTTTTAAACAATGACAAAACCGTCCATATTTTATTTTCTTTGAAAAATGTGATAGATATTAACTGTGATGAAGATTTATTTAAACCTGTTAATTTACTAGGTATCTATTTAGATAGTAAACTCTCATGGGATGTACATGTAAATAGTCTATGTAAAAAGCTGTCAAGAGTAGTGTGTCTACTGTGAAAACTGAAAACTTATGTCAGTGAAGATGTGTTGCTTATGACCTACTTTGGTCTATTCCACACACATCTATTGTATGGAATAAAGCTTTGGGGCAATTCACCCTCTGCCATAGATGCTTTCACATGGCAGAAAAAGGCTCTCAGAGTTATGGCTGGGCTAGACTCTTCAGACTCTTGTAGAACAATTTTTCCACTATTTAATATAATGACCCTTGCTTGTATTTACATCCACAGCAATCTTATTTTTGTAAAATCTAACTTAGAAAATTTTAATCAACAGTTATCAGTTCATGATCATGACACAAGAAATAGAGGTAATCTTGTTAAACCTAATATTAGACTGCACAAGTATTTTAAGAGCCATAAATACCAACAACTGTTGTTCTTCAATAAACTGCCAGAGACTGTGAGTGAGGCTGTTGCCTAATAAGAAATTTAATTGTGTAATTACAAAATGGTTAAAAAGTAAGGCTTTCTACACTGTAGAGGAATTTTTAGATGCTAAGACTGATTGTATTATAGACTGACTGTGATGTATTTTTGCACTGACGATGCCTATTGTAACGTTCTGTTATTTAATGGCAAATAAATATTCTTGATTCTTGATTCTCTTGCCTACATTAAGTAAACAAACACACAAACTTTCACATTTATAATGTTAGTAAGATTAATCAGGGGTCATCATCTGAATCTTTTCCTTTCTACTGTGTTTATATTGGCTCGATTTTAAACATATGCTATGATTAAAATTGTGACGTAAAGATAAATGCAGGAAATCGGTGGTTACTTGAATGAAAAGAACGGTTTTGTTAGCTGTAAAAAAGACAAAAATGTGTAAAGAGACGGGTGACTATCATGACACAAGAAATAGAGGTAATCTTGTTAAACCTAATATTAGACTGCACAAGTACTTTAAGAGCCATAAATACCAACAACTGTTGTTCTTCAATAAACTGCCAGAGACTGTGAGTGAGGCTGTTGCCTAATAAGAAATTTAATTGTGTAATTACAAAATGGTTAAAAAGTAAGGCTTTCTACACTGTAGAGGAATTTTTGGACGCTAAGACTGATTGTATTATAGACTGACTGTGATGTATTTTTGCACTGACGATGCCTATTGTAACGTTCTGTTATTTAATGGCAAATAAATATTCTTGATTCTTGATTCTCTTGCCTACATTAAGTAATTGACTAAAATACAACTAAAATGTATCAGCCTATATAAACAAATAATTAACCTGCCCTTGTACACTGACTCCATTAGGGGACTTAGGGAAGAGATAGTCACTTCTCAAGAGCTGTTAATTATGAGTAGGCCTAACATGCTTGGTTGATAAATCCCTCAGACATCTAATTGTTGAACATCTAATACCTTTTTGTGTAGTCTAATCTAAGTTTTATCAAGAACTGTTTTGCTGATACTTTCAATGTTTTAGGTGGATTGGTCACAAAACTTGAAATTTTACAAGATTTTGATGAAATTACAGAAGAAGATCTCACCAATGCTGAGAGTATTCTTAATCAGGAAAACCCTGAAAATTCAACTGAAATTGAACCTTCCTCTGAAGATTATGAAACAGGTAGGTTGGTACAACAACAATACCATATTGAGTTTGAAGGTTCTGTACTGTGTATTCATATAGGCTAAATATATATTGTGCCGTTGTTTATTCTATATGTAGGTCTACATACAGTGGATTATTACACCTGTGAAAACATTAAACTGTAAATTAGCCGTAAATGTTGTAGTCAAACCTTAACAATACAAATGGGCTGTTTCGGACCCTTGATTTACCCAACTAAACCCCGATGGTATTGAGAGTATATAAATTCTTGATGTTTGTTACTTGGACATTTTCAAGCCCAAAAATGAAATGATATTTACATACAGTCGTGCAATACGATTGTTGTTATAAAATATTAAAACATTCTTGAGCTACACTCATAGTAAGTGATACACATTTAATACAATGAGACACAGTTGTAGGAATAGCTTTAACCATTTAAGACCAGTATATATATATTTTGATTATTTTAGTCAAAGTGCAGTAAACCCCTGTTATATCAAACAAAACCCGGATACCCAAACCGAAAACCAATTGAAACATTAGCTAGATTTAATGGAAATTACCTGTCATGGTGCTGGTAGTTGGCCCAGCTTTGCCAACGGAAAGTAATGGAGCAGTTTACAACACATTACTCATAGGTAGGCTACTTTGATAAAGAGTAAGTTCAGAAAACATTTGCCTATTACCATTGACTATTGGAGTCAAAGCTATTACTTTAAAAATAAATATATTTTGGCTACACAATTGTTCATTTCAAATTGACAGTAAGGCCTAGTTTGAATAATGTAAAAAAAATATTCATTTATATCTCTGAACCGATTTAACCTTTATATTAATAAGTTCCAACCATTGATTCACAAAAAAAAATAGGTTATTAGAAATGGTCTTGTTTCCTTTATTTCAGTTAATTATGGTTTCACTGAGCTACTTTTATATTGTTTTCTACCACTGCATGGAAATGATCACATTGCCCATACCTGTAAACAGTATGCAAAATAGCTCATTTCCGCACTAGCTAAATATATATATCAGCTGATTTCAATGTTGGCGTCTCTTTATAAAAAAACCGGTAAGCAAATAACATTTAACCTAAAAAAATCAAACAACATAAAATTAATTTTATATACAACTAAAAAGTTAATCTGTGTGTGGTGATAAGTTAATTATGGTGGTAGGAAAAATCTTATGTGTTACAAGTGATGTGCGCCGCTCCACAAAGCTTTGCAGCAATGACGTGCTTTGTGTTCTTAATACACAAATAGCCATTCCCTCATTAAATTTGTACAAACAGAAAACACCTAAATAAAAAGTAGCAAAATGCCTGAGGTGTAACTCACAAAGAAACTTCCTATTTTGTGGTGCCGCCCACCGCTTGTTTTAGATGGTCTCTCCCACCAAGATTTATACTATACACCTGACTTCAATCTACTAAATCAGGAGACAACACTCTAGACCACGTTGTGAACATTTTACTGTATCCATACGTTCCTTTTAGTTGCAGAGATAGTTGATGGCAGTGAGTTGCCTGTCAAACTGCCAGCAGATATCACTGTAGTCAAGGAAGTAACTGTGACACCAGCCAAGCGAGGTCGGGGACGCCCAAAGAAGAACTCAACCCCTGTCATAACACCTCACCCTGTCGTAGTTGAACCACTTGAAGCCTTCTCTTGCAGTTTGTGTCCTCGATCGTTTCAAACTGCTTTTGTAAGTTTTCATTTATTCATTTTTAGGAGAAAAGATTAACTTATTTTAAACCCCAAATCATCATTGTGCAATCTTTCCATCCATGCTGTTGCAATATTGTAAACGATTTTTTAATTTAGGCAACTGTTAAGTTCAAAATAAAATTTTTGTAAATCTAACCAGCCTAAAAATGTGTAAAATTGGTTATGAATCAAATCTAGCATTGGTTAAACACTAATTCTTAAACTTTTTAAAATACATTTTTAAACCTCATTTTTCTTCAGAATAAAATATTACCATCCTCTAATCTTTGAAAATAATTTTAAAATATTGTAAATTTAAAAAATACCTATTAATAGTTATAATATTATGGTAAAATTTATCTTTAGTCTTTATTTGTTTATAATCTTTTGTTCTTAAAATTGCAACTGAAACCGTATAGAACATTGCATATGTTCTGTTTTGATTTTTTTTTGTTTTGGGGTTTTTTAACGAGCTAACTGGATTGTTTGTGTTTCAACTCTTTAACTGATGATTATTTTTCTTTTATTTTACTTATTTGATACTGGTGTCTCAGGTCAACTGTAATTTTATATAGTCATTAGAACAGCCATAATTTTATTTTCTGACTATGATTATTTTCTATTTATGAGGCAAGTATATCATATTTTCCCTCCTTTTAGTGTATTTTTATAGTTATTATCAATCATAAAACAACTAGTCTTGTCAGTGCATACATAGCTAATATATTCCCTTTTATGCCAGGGGCTGAAAAAGCATGAAAGCGCTTGCAAGCGTATTCATGGAGTAACTAAACAAGAAGTTGAAGAGGTGGCAGAAGTGATGACTGAAGAGAGCCCACCAGTGGAAGGCAAGTAAATTCACATCTCATACTGTAGCGTAATCAAAAGGTTATTGTAGAAATAATAAAGTGGACTGTATATGGGTTATTAATTTAATTTTGACAACAGAAAATAATGGACTTTTGGTTTAATTTTTAACACTGAACTATAGTTATGTTACCACTTTGACGTTATTAAGGTCTTGAAAGAAGATCTGGTCGAATGTTGTCTCTAGTTGAGAAGATATGTTTCATGAATGTCCAAATGTTCTCACGGTACACAGAATTTAGTCAAATTAAAAAAGGTTTATTTAATGAACACAAAAGGAAAAGGTAAATGGAATAAGTCAAAATAAAAGGAGAGAGAAATTAATTATGTTACACAAAGAAACGATATTACAAGAGAGAAAAATTGCACTTTTTGAACCAGAATGTTTACCTTGGAATGTTTACATTTTCAAATTTTTATTATTGTATTGTTGTTGACATGTGGAGATTATGCTCATATGGTCAGCTGGCCTTTTACTGAACATACCGGCCTCCATAAAACGATAGTTTTATAACAATGAACACAAAATTGTACAAAAAACGGAGCACTGAAGAATATTCTGAATATTATTTACAGCTATTTACAGGTCTTTTTAAGTTGTATGGCTTAGTTTTGAGGGAGAGGGAACACTTTAACAACTGGTCTAGTAAGGTAACCGTGTTGAGTCTTCAGATCAACAACCCTGACTTGTCCATCTGTGCCAGGATGCAACTGTGTGACACGGGCAAGGGGCCAGGACAAAGGAGGCGATGAAGAGTGGATCAAGACTAGATCTCCAACTTTTATGTTTTCTGTCTTATGAGTCCACTTGGATCGTTGCTGGAGTGTATGAAGGTACTCTAGTTGCCAGCGCTTCCAAATCCTTTGGTGGAGAGCTTGTACTAGATGCCATCTTTTGAGCCGAGTTAGTGGAATATCAGCATGGTCTTCTTCTGGAATTGATGCCAGCGGAGATCCTATGAGGAAATGTCCTGGAGTGAGTGCTGAACAGTCATTAGGGTCGTTAGATAATGGTGTCAAAGGACGGGAATTGAGGATTGCCTCTATTTGTGTAGTCAGAGTCATGAATTCTAGGAGAGTAAGAATGTGTTCACCCATGACACGGCGCAGATGGTATTTGACACTTTTCACTGCTGCTTCCCATAGACCACCTTGATGGGGCGAAGCAGGAGGATTGAAATGGAAATTTATTTTCCTGGATGAAGTGAAATGCAATAGTTGTTCTTCAGATTCTTTGGTGCGCAGAGTGTTTTTGATTGTTCGACGCAGTGCAGAATCAGGGCCATATGAAGTTCGTGCCACAGTCGGAATAGATATCTTTACAGAATCCTCTTCGGGAGATGAATCGTGTGAGTGCAGCGATGAATCCCTCAGTTGTTAAATCTTCTACAACTTCTAAGTGCACTGCCTTTGTCACAAAACAAACAAAAACACAAATGTAGGTTTTGATATGACGCATTCCGCGGAGATTGACAACTTTCATGTCAAAAGGGCCACAATAGTCAACGCCACTGGTAGTAAATGGTCGAGCTGGAGTTACTCTTGCGGTAGGAAGATCTCCCATGAGTGGAGTGATGTTCTTTGGTTTCACTTTGAAACATTTTACACATTTATGAATACGTGTCCGTATGACTCGACGAGCCGAAAGAATCCAATAGTTTTGGCAAAGGATTGCTTGGGTCAGTTGTGGTCCGGAATGTAAGTGAGTAGTGTGGACAAAGTCTATGAGAAGATCAACGATATGGTGCTTCTTTGGAAGTACTATTGGGTGTTTGACGTTGAATTTCAGCGATAGCTTCTTAAGCCGGCCTCCCACACGAATTATGCCGGAAGCATCCAGAAAAGGGTCTAAACGTTGAAGATTAGAGGTACTGGGTTTGTTTTTGTGAAGTAGAGTCAATTCATTCGTAAAACATGTAGCTTGTACACACTTGATGATGGTACGCTCTGAGTTCTTAAGTTCAGAGACGGTGAGATGCCCATGTCTTCGGTCAGAGCTACGTGCATTGTGGATAAACCGCAAGACATAGCTTGTTACTCTAAGTAGTTTGGACCACGATGAGTACTTGGAGAGAAGATCCCATTCTGGAGGTTGGGTTGAAACTAGGACATTTAGAGGAGTTGTTTTACATTCTTGAGTGTCTTGCAAGTTGATGGGAACGAAGCGATTAGATGGCCAATGATCATCTGAAAGAGTTAACCATGGAGGGCCATTCCACCATAGAGGATGATCAATGAGTTGAGCGGGAAGCAAACCACGTGACGCACAATCAGCGGGGTTGTCTGTTGAGGGAACGTAGCGCCAGGAGTGAGAGGGGATCAATTCTTGGACTTGAGCAACTCTGTTGGCAACATACGTTTTAAGTCGATATGAGGGGGTGTGTAACCAAGTGAGGGTTACTGATGAATCACACCACAATGTAGTTTGAGGAAGGTCAATCTTTTCTTTGAAAATTGTACAACAGTAGGTTGTGAATTTTGCAAGTAAGTATGCACCACATAGTTCCAAGCGGGGTAGAGTAACACGTTTCAAAGGAGCTACACGTGTTTTTGCGAGAATCTGACGAGTGATGATTTCTCCAGTTGAAAACTCACAGCGGAAGTATAAAACTGCTGAGTATCCTACTTCGGAGGCATTTGAAAATCCATGGAATTGTAAGAAACATGTGGTAGTGAAATGGAACGAGCGAGGGATCTTAATACTTGAAAGTAGAGAGGTTTCATCAACGAATATGTGCCATTTTTCGGCGAGTTCATTTGGAAGAGTGTCATCCCATTGGATACCCTGTGACCAGAGTATTTGCATGAGGGTTTTTGCCCACATGGTCACGGGTGACAAAAAACCGGTAGGGTCAAAAATGCGTGCTATAATGCTCAGCACTGATCGTTTTGTAGGAGGACCATCAGGGAGACTTAAGTTGTAAGTGAAACAATCTGAAATGGGTGACCAATTTAGTCCAAGAATGGCAAAATGAGGGTGATTAGTGGCTTCCAAAAAGACTGGTGTTTCTAGATGATCTTGAGGCAAATCTTGGAGTATTTCTGGGCAATTGGATGTCCATTTTCTTAGCTCAAAACCACCACGTGCAAGAAGTTCAATCAGCTGATCTCGTAGTTGCTTAGCTTCGTTGAGTGTATGAGCTCCACAGATGACGTCATCCACATACGTATTATCCCGTAGAACTTTGGCTGCTGCTGGGAAGGACCCTCCTTCGTCGTCAGCAAGTTGATGTAACGTTCTGATGGCATGGAAAGGTGAACTGCTAAGACCGTATGTAACTGTTGTTAATTTGTATGTGGAGATTTCTCGAGTCTTTTGATCACGCCATAAAATTAACTGATACTTCTGGTCGTCAGGATGAACTTGAATGCAACGATACATTTTCCTTATATCGCAACTGAACACATAATTATGTGAACGAAAATTCAACAAAATGTCACAAATGTCAATCTGAAGTTTGTGACCGGTTAAAAGAATATCATTTAGTGAGACACCGGTACTGGTTTTGCAACTACCATCAAAAACTGTACGAAGTTTGGTTGTACTACTGGTTTCCTTCAGTACACCGTGATGAGGCAAATAGTAGTGTGGCTGCGAAAGATCGGAAGGGGATGCTTTGACCATGTGTCCGAGATGTTCATATTCAGTCATAAACTGTGTATACAATACCTTGAAATTAGAGTTGGATTCAAACTTTCGTTCAATTGAGTGAAGTCTATGTTCAGCAGCAGATTTTGAAGTGCCCAGTGGTTGATGTTGGTCCTTGAAAGGGAGTCGAACCACATATGTTCCATCTGGAGAGCGGGAGTGAGTTGATTTGAAGTGATCTTCAGCGATGCGATCGTCTTCAGAGATAAGATTGCACTGCGGTACCTCTTCTTGTTGCCAAAAGCGAAGTAGAGTATTATGTAGCTCGTCCGTAGTGGAGAGTAGAGATGAATGGCATGAGGTGGGAGAAGAGTTAGACAAAGTTGGTGCATTGCCCATTAACACAAATCCCAATCGTGTTCCAATAACGAATGGAAGGTTTGAGCCCAATGGGTAGGATTGATGAGTAAGAAGTTCTGGAAACAAAGCACCTCCTATCAGAATGTCAATATTCTGAGGAATATGAAAGGTCGGATCTGCGAGGACAAAAGGTTTTACCAGTTTGTAAACCTCAAAAGAAAGTTGAGTACGAGGCAAAGGAGCGGAAATTCTATCTAGAATATGGAAAGGTTGATTTGAAGCAATTACTTCACTACCTAGTGTGGATAGTTCTAGGAGTGCATGTCCCTTTGTCGAGGATTGCGATGCAGATATTCCCACGATTGTGTGAGTAGAGCGGTGACGAGAGACGTTTAATAGCTGTGCTGCCCTCTCTGTCATGAAGTTGAGTTGACTTCCACTGTCGAGCAGACATCGAAAGACATGAGAGATTCCATTAGTAGCGGTAATTTTAATGAGAGCGGTGCCTAGAAGTACCGTAGTTGCTGGCTGAGAAATCGAGAGCGACATTTCTGGTTGAGCAGAAGCGACTACAGAAGGTGTAGCAGTTGAAGGTTTTGAGGGTTTGGCTATAGGAGGAGGCTGCACCGACTTTACAACATTTTCGAAATGTAACAAGGTGTGGTGTTTTTGTTTACATTTAAGACATGTGCCTGTTGAGCGACAATCTTTGAGTGTGTGATTGCCAAGACATGAAATACATTTATTTTGCTCCTTTACAAGTTTGTAACGCTCGTTTGGAGATTTCTTAGCAAAAACCTTACACATGTAGATTTTGTGATCGGTTTGTTGACAGGCAAAGCATGATGGAAATGTCTTTACAGAAGTGGAGTGATCATCTAAGCTTACAAGTGCAGTATAGCGGGTGCTTGGTTTGGAGTAATTTTTACTAGATGTGAGGGCAGACTTTGAATTAGCCTTGTGACAAAAAGTTGAAGAGTGTAGGTTGGCATCTTCACTGTTTGAGCATTCTTCATTGAGAAATTTAATGATTTCGTCCACAGATGGTAACGAATGAGTTTCACATGATTTGAATGAGCGGTAATGTTCAAGTTTTTGCCGTAAATTTCTATCAAGTCTACGGAGCAAATGAGCTGACAGCAAAGGATTGTCATTGGTAGTGATGTCACTTTCTAAAGCAATAAGTGATTGTGTATGTTCCAGAAAATGATTTAGAAATTCACGTATTGATTTTGTATTTTCAGATGTAGCAATGGGAAGATCCAATATGGCATTTAAATGTAAAGAAGTTAAGCGTCTGTGATTGTGGTATCGATCGCGCAACAAATTGTATGCGATTTCGTAGTTAGATGCACTGATGTTTAAGTTTTTAATTAAATTTAGAGGCTCTTCAGTTAGACAGCTTTTTTTTTTTTTTTTTGTGGGGGCTGGGGTATTGGCATACCCCTAGCTACTTCGGCCTGGAGACCTTTTGTAGCACCCTTTAATTCATTCTGACAGCCCTAGGCTCCTCAAGTAGCCCAGGAGCTGAAAGACACCCAGCTTCCTTATCTCTGTTGGTTCCAGGAATAACCTCCCCAGAGATATAAGCCTTCTATGGGCCAACGCTGGACAGTCCAGCCATAAATGTTCTGAGGTTTCTACCTCGTTCTCACAGAACCTGCAGAGGTCTGTTTGTGACCTCCCTATGGTCCTGAGATGTTTCCTGATAGGACCGTGCCCTGTTAACACTCCTACTAGCAGACTAATGTCCCCTTTCTTAAGGCTCAGCAAGTCTTTCCAGCCTTTATCAGTGGGGTCGATTAGTAATTTGGACGTCCTCATACCTGGGTGGTTCATCCAGGCCAGAGCCTTTTGAACCTTGACCCAGTCTTGGACTTTGGCTACTCCTGAGCTTATGGGGGTACCACAGTAGGGTTCTGGTCCTGACAGTTGGTCTTCCGCACCCTTCCTGGCCAATGCATCGGCTTTTTCGTTCCCCTCATGCCCCGAATGTCCAGGAACCCAAGACAATTTGACTTGGTTTCGCTCTGCTAACTTTTTGAGGGTGTTTTTACACCCTTTTACTGTTCGTGACTGTGTCACACATGACCCCAGCGCCTTCAGTGCTGCCTGGCTGTCAGAGAGAATAAGGATTTTACCCTTTCTTAGATTCTTGCTAATAATATTATTAGCACAGCACTCAATCGCCAGGACCTCTGATTGAAAAACTGTTGTTGTTCTGCCCAAGGCCAGAGATATTTTGGTTTTGTTACCATACACTCCCAGCCCTGATCTCTCATCCTTCCGACTTCCATCGGTGTAATAGACCAAGCATGCTCTGTCATTGCTGAAGTTGCACTGTTGCCAGTTGTCTCTTCCCCTATTGCAACTTGGTAAGGAATCTCGAAGTCGTATTCCTTTGTCATGAGGTCTGGTGTGCCTAGTTCCAAGTCCATGCTTGGGAATCCCCTCAGGATGGACAGGTGGCCAGACTGCCTCTGTAGATTCAGCTCACCTCTGCTGCCCATTTTTAGTGCAGATATGGCTGCGCATTTCTTAACTTCCAGCCCTAGTGGGAGCATGTCGAGTATTGCCTCCATTGCAGCTGTGGGACAGGATTTCATGGTTCCACAGATCCCCGAGCACGCTAGCCTTTGCAGCTGCTGCAGTTTCCTGCCAGCTACTGTCTGCTCTGCCTTAGGCCACCATACTAAGGCTGCATATGTAACCATTGGTTTGACTATGGCTTCATAGGTCCAATGTGTGAGTTTGGGACTGAGTCCCCATTTCTTGCCAAAGGTTCTTCTGCAAGCACCAAAAGCACCTATACCTTTTGCGAGTACATAGTCAAAGTGCCTGCTCCAGGTCAGTTTCTGGTCGAGGTAAACTCCAAGGTATTTTGTTTCCTTCACAAGTTTTACACTTTTCCCCTGAATTTTTGGGGCTGTTAGGTTAGTTCTCCTTCTCGTAAAGGAGATTAGCTCTGTTTTGTCAGGGTTAATTGTGAGCCCCTCTTTGGAGCACCACCCCTCAATGAAGCTAACGGCTGTCTGGGTAAGGTTGTTCACTGTGGCTGCGTGTTTGCCTCTGACAGTCAGCACTAGGTCGTCTGCAAAGGCTTGGAGGTCTATGTCTCTCCTGTCAGCCTCTCTCAGTAGATCATCCACCACAAGAGCCCACAGCAGGGGTGAGATAACCCCTCCTTGAGGGCAACCCTGCCGAGCAATGATAGCTGTCGAGTAGCCTCCCAATTCTGCCGTCACCACCCTGCTCTTGAGCAGGGCATTTATCCAAGCTGCTACGTCGGGGGAGATGCCCCTGCTTCTGACTGCAGCCTCTATAGATTTGTAACTCACGTTGTCAAAGGCACCCTGTATGTCCATGAAGACCCCTGCCATAATCTCCTGGTGTTCTAGGGTTTCCTCGATCTTTGCCACTAGGGTGCTTAGGGCCGTCGTTGTAGATTTGCCCTTCATGAACGCATGTTGGCTCGCACTTAGGGGGTTAGTAACTAAATATGCATCCCTAATGTGGCGGTTTATCACTTTTTCCATAGTCTTTAGCATGAAAGACGACAGGCAAATTGGCCTGTAGGATTTAGGCTGGGCCTGGTCTCTACCTTTTTTCAGCAGAAACGCCACCCTTGATTTCCTCCAACAAATTGGGATGTAACCTAGGGCAAAGCTGCCCCTGAACAGAGCTATCATATGATTTAAAAGGACCTCTAGTCCTTCTTGGATGAGAGCTGGGAATATTCCGTCCCCGCCTGGAGACTTGAAAGGGCTGAATGAATCGACAGCCCACTTCACGACCTCCGGCTTGAACAGCTTACTCGAAAATCTTCTAGCCAAAGCAATGTCTCTAGGTGATTTCCTATTCCAGGGTATCACGTGTTGTCCTGTTGAGTTGCCTAGTGGGGTGTTCCCCGGGAAGTGGGTGTTCATGAGGACTTCAAGAGTCTCCTCCATTCCTATTGTGTGACTCCCATCCTCCCGTTTTAATGTACCGAGCGGGTTAGGCACATCTCTCTGAAGGGCTTTTTGCAGTCTAGCTGCTTCTGGTAGGTTTTGAATCCCCTCACAGAACTGCCTCCAGGACTTCCTTTTGCTTTTCCTTATCTCTGAGTTGTACTCCGTTAGGGCTCTTGAGTAGTTAGCCCAATCCCTGGTTCTTTTGGTGGTGTTAAAGAGTTTACGGAGTTTACATCTCATCTTGTTTAGCTTCTCATTCCACCAGGGCACATTTCTTGTTGTCCTTTTGGTTTTGAGAGGGCAATTTTCCTCAAAGGCATTTAGCATTGACCTGTTTAACTGTTCTGCCTTCATGTCAAGGCCGTCAATGGTCATGAGTTGGATCACCTTTTCTTCAACTTCATCCCTGAGGGATTCCTTGTATCCCACCCAGTCTGTTGTTTTAGGAGCCCTATAAGTCAGAACGCTTTTGACGCTTGCTATCAAGTCAAACCTAATATGGCAGTGGTCAGATAGAGAGGCTTCATCAGAGGCGTGCCATCCTTTTGTTTCCAGGTGACCAAGGTTTAACGATAGGGTGAGGTCCAAAATTTCCTCTCTTATTCTATTTCTGAAGGTTGGTACATTACCTATATTTTCTATCTGTAAGTCAACCTTAAATATAAATTCCAGGAGATCCTTACCTCTTTCATTAGTGTCCGAACTCCCCCAGATGGTATGGTGAGCGTTTGCGTCACAGCCGAGGATTAGGGGAATCCTCTTGCTTCTAGCATACTCCACCAACTGCACCACCGCCCCCGGAGGACAAGTTTCTCCTGGGTTGGGGAAGTAGGCTGAGGCAACTAGAGCTTTTTGCCTCCCTGCAGTGGAGTCGAAATCGACTTGGATTGTTACCAAGTCACGGCTGGTGAATTCTGTAACAGCTAAGCATACGTTGTTAGGGTTCATGAGGATGCAGGCCCTAGGGTTAGCAGATCCCCTATCGTATACCAGCTTACCCACCTGGGTTGGAAGACCTCGAATTGTTCCTCCTCTTACCCAGGGTTCTTGTAGGAGGGCAAAATCGAGCCCTTCGGTGGCAAACCTCCTGCCCAGGGCTGCTGAAGCACCTTTGGCATGATGGAGGTTGGCCTGTATGAATCGGGAATTCATTCCCGTTTCCTGTCTGAGGGGTCACTCTTACCCCTCCTGTCACGGTGATGGGACTCCCTTCTGTCCCCTTGTCTAGGGTTGCTGCTCCTTGGCCGGTACTGCTCCCTTCTTGTAGTTGAGGGCCCCCTGTGCCTCTCCTCTCTCCTTTCCCGGGAGTTTCTCCTGTCGAAGATAGGGAAGTGCCGGGAGTCTTGGCTTCTCCTTTCTTCGCCCCTCCTTGACTCCACTGACCTCACCGTGGAAGTGGATGTTGAGGGTGGTGTCCTTTTCCTTGCACCCAGGGTGGCAGATGGTGGTTGCACTGGCGGAGCATTTGGTGACTGCGCTGGCGGAGCATTTGGTGACTGCGCTGGCGGAGCGGTTGTTGGCTGCGCTGGAGTGACGGTGGCCTCCCCTTCAGCGTTTGATGTTATGGTGGACGAGGGGGGCTCAGGCCGAGGTGCC